ATTTGAGTGTATAGTTTAAGTGATGTCAATGAATGGTCTCAATAATTGGTTTCGTATCAATCTCTTCATTATATATTCATGAATACAATGATATCAATAAATACATAGTTTTCACTAAAATTTGGCAAAAAATTGCTCATAACCGATGGGTAAATACAAAGTGGGCAGCTTTTGTATTACATTTGTAACAAACAAAACAGTATGCTTGTTGAGTAATTTAGACAAACCTTATGGTATTTGTTTATGAAATAAATTGATTTTGTATATCTGAGTATATTTAAATAAGGACTTAAAATAAAACATTGAAATTATATGTTTTTACATTAATTACAGTGATTTATGTTTTATTATATAAATATTAACAAATGACTGAATAAATAGATAAATGAGATCTTTGAGAGATAAGCCATTTTTCATACGAGAGACGCTTTCAACGAAATTGATTTTAATATATACGAAGAAACTGAAATATAATCATAATTCAAAAATCAGTATCTTTTGGAAATGCATTCAACGCTATTCGTTATATTGATCTCAATGTTGGCTATAATGACAATCCGTAAGTCATATCTCATTAATAATTAATGAAAACTTTTTAAATTATAAATATTGAGACAACTTGTGATAATTTAATCAAATGGGTTGACATGACATGGATGCTAGTGATGGGCCAACCGATGGCTGCAATGGATTGCGTGCGAAGACACGGAATGTGCGGCGGATTCGTTGGCACTGATTGTTGTCCGGGAGAAGGAATCTGCAGAATATTTGGCGGAGACTCCGGTTATTGTCGATAGAAAACTATTATTTCTCGCAAACATTCCTTACATTTATTTTTACTTCAAGAATCAATGGACACTAATATCTGGACAACTGGTGTGTAGCAAAGGTTGCCAGAGGATTGTCATAGTTTTATTTGCAATGAAATTTATGATATAAGATAGTAAATGGTTTATAAATGATTAAAATAAGTGAATTATTAGTTTGGGAATTTGGTTGGAGATTATATGCTTAATACTAAGTTTTAATAAATTGTTTTTTATGATGATCAACTATTTTACGTTTTTATACTCAAATATTTTGGTATGAATTATGTGTGAGTTTTAGAGATGAAATGAATTGTTGTACAAATAAGATGAGCGCATAATTAAGAATTAATCAAAAGGGGATTATAATTAAAAAACAAATTTCTTGTCAGAAAAAATTAATTAAAAAAAGAAAGCGAATAGAAAAAGGAAACGAAAAGTGAAAGTGAATTGAGTTTTAATATACAATGGATGGGCTATACATAACTCATAGCAAAACTAATATCGAGTGTTTTTGATGAAAAAATAATATGAGTATAAAAATCAAAGTCAATAAAATAAGACAGAGTAATAGCCGGCTGACTGTACCCAACACGTACTCCATGTACCAAATATAAGACGTGGAGAGAGAGAGAGAGAGAGAGAGAGGGAGAGAGAGAGAGAGAGAGAGAGTATTCTGAGTGTTTGACACAACAAACAAAACAAACTCATAGAGTATTTGATGAGTTGTGAGAATGGATCACAAAAAAGAAGCTAAAACTGGGAGAAAAAAGTGAACACAAAAACTGGAGGCTCTCTATATTAAAGGCAATAAATCATTTTCAGTCCTTTGTTTATCTCTAACCAACACATAAGGAGAGGGTTTCCAAAAAACAACACATAGGGTGACCAACCGTTATTGATTTTTAAACTCTAATTAAGAATCCTAATTCTATATATTATACCATATTACAACAATTTCTGTTATCTGTTATGATATGCCTATTACTGTATGAAGTATTAAACTATAGAAAAGAATAATTCTCAATTAAAATTTGCATTAGAATATAATAAACATAAAACTGTTCAAATTACATCATAGTAATACAGTATTATTGTAGATAATTGTGTATTTTGTATTCCGTAATTTTTAGGTTTATTAAATTCTAATAGTTTAAAACAATTCTTAAATTATCAACATTATCCTTTAATTATTCTTAAATGATAAATTTATATTTACAATAAAGGTACATTAAATAATCTATTTAAAGAGACGAATTAAAACATTAAAATTTAGTACTGGATAATTTCTTATTCCCAATAATGATTGTGTACTGTATTGTCCAGTTATAATCCAATTCTTGAATTTGTGGGCACACTATACACTACACTACAGTATAAATTGATAACCAGAAAAATGAGTAAAAAGTTGGTAAAAGAGTAGTTTCTAGAAGAAAAAAGATTATTACAAATAATATGTTTTCTATATATTATAGTTATTTACAAATATTGCAATATTACCCAAAAAACATACATTTATTTCAAATACAAGTATTTGAAACTTTCTTTCAATGATATGTTAACGAAATGATTGAGTCTAACAAATGTTAAGCAACTCTATATTCCTGGGGGTGTGTTTAGGGGCTTATATATATAGCATTTTTGTTACTCACCCCTCAATCTTTATTTTGCTTTAATCATAAAATGTATTTTTCTTTTTGCCACTATTATTTTATTTTCTCAATTTTTTAAGTTTACTTTTATATATAGTTTGGCACAAATATCTCAAACAACAGGAGTATATGAAAAAGTGGCAAAAAAGAAAGTAATTCAGTGAACGAATTGTTGTGATAAAAGACATTTACATTTTGTGGGATAAGTCATGATTCAGTTTAATTCACTTAAAAAGTAAACTCTAATATTTGGCTCCTATTGTGTGTAACAAGAAAAATGGTTTAGAGAGCTATATATTTGCCAGAGAAATATGTTTGCAGTCTCTCTCTCTCTCTCTCTCTCTCTCTCTCTCGACTTTAAGCAATCATTTATAGATAGACCTTATGTTGGTTTAGGTGTCTGTATGTAGCGCTAAAAGGTATTATTGGTATGCGATATGAATTTTTTCTGTTATTTCTGGCGATAAAATTTTTTTATATAAATATTTTATATTCATATAAAGAGAGCAAAATGTTATTTAAACAGTTGTTTGAATTCCAGAAACGATAAAAATTGTTTTCATTACGAAATATAAACTTATTTTCTCAGCTCTTTTTCATCAAAAGCTATATTTTGGACGAATAAATAGAAATTTGCATAAAATTCATATTTAAGCTAACGATCCGAACAAATAAATTATCTCTTATTTTTGAGATAACTTTCCCTTTTTGAGCTAAATATTCAAAGAATTTCTCACAAACTTAAAATTCAATTCTTATTCATTGAAATAGGGAATACACTATTTAGTTCATACTATCTATTGTAAACATACAGTTGACATAAAATTAACTTGGATACAAAACTATTAAAGGTAAATATTTATATAATTTCTTAATGGTTTAGCGTACATATTAAATTCTTCAAATTAATTAATTCATGTTTTTATATAGAATATAAAGTTTATATATCTATAAATATATATATATATATATATATATTTCTTATTATATAGAGAGTATTCACAAATTACTCTGAATTTGAAAATTATACTTTAATAAAAAATAAGAATTATGTAATTATAATGGATTAAAAATAATTTAAGTTTAATATTGTTAGTTGAGTAAATAATAACTAGGATAATTGTGTTATTTTATAAAATTAATTAATGTGTTAAAGAAATTCTTATTGGTTTGAAACTCTTTTTAAAGTAAACCATTAATTTTAATTCAATTTTTAATACAATAATAATATAAGAAAAATACAATACAAAGGATTTCTTTTGAGCCGTAAAAATAAATGGTATATAATATGCCCTAAAACTGAATTCAAGAGTTTATAATTGAAAGCAACAAAAGTTGAACATTAGGTGCGAAAAAGTTTTGAACACATATTATAATAACAATGAAGCGTTGAAAAGCAATTTATGGCTGATATAAGGCTAGCATATAATGAACAGAAAATATCAGAGGAATAATATGAATGCATAACACTATTTGAAAGAATATTCTTGCGTTTACGTTGAGTTTAAGTTTTAATATTTAGGCAAAACTATAGCGAAATTGAATGCAAAGTATAAGAAGAAGAAAATATCTCTTCTCTTGTCTTCAGTGAAGCGGAGAATAGTTTTGCCGAACATATGAGACAAGAGATAAGAGTCGGTTATATAAAGCATATAATATGCGAGTCTTTCCTGAAGGTTATGCCACTCTTAACGCAAGAATTTATTTTTTGCTATTCTTTCATATATTTTGGGATATATTTTGGGATACTTTTCTGCATTATATCTATTGTTACCCTTTTAAGAGCGATCTGTTGCCATATTCTCATACATGTGCGCGCTATCAGTGCTCTGATTAATGCCTTTCCAGCGATGATAAACTCGGAGAGAGAAATAATGGCACATCTGATGAGTGGACACTACTGTACAGACATTTGCACACAAACTGACACATAATGCTATAAAAAAAACTCAAATCCAATGATAACACATCGGGTATTGAAAATAAGAACTCAATTTCAATGGATAGACACAAAGGCTTTGTTTTTCACGAAAAAAATGTTTAGATTTTCCAAAATATTTTTTGTCAAACTATTGATTTATATCTCTATTATAGACTTCTGTTCGCAGAAAAATTTCTTATTTCATACTTACTATTACTGTAACTGTGTATCAAAAGCGCAGTGAAATCAATACGACTATTATTTATAATAACATTAATACTGAAAACTTCACATTTTCTCGTTTGCATTCAAGTTATTATTATGATTTTTCGCTGACATTCAAAAGTCATGTTAAAGTCATTGGTGAATGAATTTGTGAGAAACTGATAATTTTCTTATTAAATATGAATAATAGAAATGCAAGAATTGATTGGAAATAAAGGCAGAGAAACAGTGCATCGAATCGATTGGAAACATAAAAATAATAGCAAATGATTGATAAGAATAAAGTTGTAATGAAACGATAGGAAAATGAAATGCGATATTAATATACAAGTAATGAAGTGATGAGCAAAATATGGCATCTGTTGTATCAGTGATGCGAAATACATCTCATCTGTAATGCCATCGACTCTTGAATATGAAGAACAAAAGGAGAAGACAAGAGTTATATTAGGTTTAGGTTGTGATCCATTCGGAAATACATATAACTTATAAGCCCTCACTTACATGACTAGGATTTACAGCCAATATCTATGAAAGGCAGAGGACATGGAGAAGCGCACATCCATTCTCACACATCAACATAACTCTCCCCTACTCTCCAACTTCTCTCTCTCTCTCTCTCTCTCACTCACTCTCTCTCTCTCTCTCTCTCTCCGGTTGATATCGATTTTGTGATACTTTTGACTATAGCCTCAGCAAATATAACAAATAATATCGTGAAATAAAATATTGTTATTCATTTGATTTGTTTTTTCATCAAATCTAAACTTTTTGTGTCGCAAATGCGAGACTCTATTATATTATATGCCATATATTTCTTTTGTAAAAATATAACATAAAAAGTATTGAAACTTATTTATCAAAGCATACAATCGACTTAATATTGTATACTAACTCCACTTTTTTCTATACATTTACTCTCTTTAAGGCATTATTTTTGACTCATTTATCATTAAATATGAAATGATTTGTTGTTATTATTTCTATTTTCCTGATATTATATGATATGAGACAACATTTGATGTGTTTATGAAACTTACGGAAAGGTAAGCACTGGTAGGCATTGGTGGGCACTCATGGCAACAACACTGATCACCACAAAATGTTTCATAAATTTCTATTATTCACGGCTCGTAATAAAGTCCTCTTCAGACAGACGTTTGATTTTCTATAAGATTTGAGAATTTAATTTATTTTCAATAGACATGAAAAATACGAGTTTTATTGTGGTTTCGATAACAATGAAGGATTGCATTCACCATACAATACAACAATTCTCTATTGATTAGCAAAAATATTTTTGGCTCTAAAATCAATTTCGTGTATTACTTCCAGTTAAGTGTAATTTAATATTTTAGGAAGCAATTATTTTTATTTGGGAGTAATTCCGGGTACAGTATTTTAGGCTACTTTCATATCATGAAAGTATTTAGGAATTTATTATATAAATAAATATATTAACATTTTAATACTATTAATAATTTATCAATACCTTATAATAAGTTAAATGGAAATGATAATACAAAGTTATATAATAGATTAGATTAAACAAGGTTAGGTTAAATTATGTTAGATTAAGACAACTTCTCATGACATATAGATGATCTGTATAGATAAGTAATTAAAAGGTTATTATTTTAATTTTAGGTATGCTTTTTATAGGAATTGATATTGTGTCATTAAATATTTCAAAGATTGGTTTTTATTTCAAACATTTCTAAACAACATAATTTTTAAACAAGCTATTATTTTATTCAACAAATTCTGTAATAACTTTTACACCAAATATAGCAAAGTATGAACAAATGCCGCCCTCATGAGAGTGGGACACAAACTAATTTCATTATTTTCTTTATACAGAATATTCTGACAATTGGGTAAACTTTATAATTTTGTGTGTATGTGTCATAAGACAAGAGCCATAAATAACATTTAATGAAATAATTGTTATGTATATATCTATTATTAATTATTGAAAATGATTATGATAGGTCAGGTCAGGTTAGGTTATATGAGATTAGGTTAGTTATATTGAGATAATGGTAACATAATTTATAAAGGATATACTGTACAGTACTTGCTATTTAGTTTGAAATTTGTTTCCAACAACAGATAAAAAATAATAGGTGAAGTATAAAAGTAAGTTAAACTTTTACTTTTTGCACAATCGCGAGTACTGAGTGTTTAATTATCATAAAAATGTTGTTATTATATTTATTCTCAACTTTTTCACTCTTTTTAATATGTCATTCAGTCAATGAAAATAGCAATCGATTAGATTGTGTTATTTCGAGTGAGTATTATAATACTGTATAATATAACTTGTATATCAAATTATATAAATAATATTGTTTATGAAAATTACAATTAATGAAAAATTAAATTAATTATTTTATTATATGATAATTACAGACAAAAAGTTGAGTGAAAGTCAATGTTTAGAAAGAGGCTGTATTTACGATCCCGTGAAGGATAAGCCAGAGATTCCTTACTGTTATTTCAATGCAGCAAAACTCGGCTATAGAATAGACTCAACAAAAGACACTGACTTTGGTTTGGAAGCGACTCTCAAATTGAAAGACTCGGCAAAAGATACAAAACTTGTCACACAATTGGATGCTCTGAAGGCGGAGGTCACGTATTTGACAGAAAACATACTCCGGGTTAAGATATTTGACGCCAACAACAAGAGATATGAAGTCCCCATTCAGTCTAACTTTCCACTTCTTCAACAACCTCTCCATAAAATCGATGAAAACCTGAGAAAATATAAATTTAATTTAAATAAAACTGACTTTGGGTTCACTATTGAAAGAAAAAGTTCAGCGACAAAAATGTTAGTAATAATCATAATTGAAAAGATTTATATAATTATTATAATGTTGTATTTACCTTCTAAAATAGTTTGGACACATCTATTGGTGGACTGGTATTTAGTGATCAGTTCATACAAATAGCGAGTTATTTGCCCTCAAATAATGTCTACGGATTGGGTGAGAATACACATCCGTCTCTCAGACATAATCTTAATTACAAGACTTGGCCCCTATTTACAAAGGACAACGCTCCCAATAGTGTAAGCCTAATAAAATCAGATAATAAAATTTGAATCCTTTAAAATTTTAAAAATATGTTCATAAGTAATAATAATGAATAATTATTTTATATATTAATAAAATAATATTATTTTTAAAAATAATTATATTATATTTGTATGTAAAGAATGACGAGAAGAACAACTACGGTCACCACCCCTTCTATACAGTACTCGAAAGTAATGGCAATTCACACGGAATTCTGTTACTTAACAGCAATGCTATGGGTATTACATTCAAAACATATTGTTTCATAAATAATCTCGCATTAACTAATGAATTGTGTGACAGAGTATACACTTATGCCGGCGCCCGCCGTATCTGTTAAGACAATCGGAGGAATTCTGGACTTCTTTGTGTTTGTCGGCGATAATCCCGAACACGTCATACAATTATACACATCACTAATCGGTCGCACATTTATGCCATCGTTTTGGGCGTTTGGCTTTCAAATATCCAAATGGGGTTATCATAACACATCTCAAGTGAAAGCCTGTGTCGAGCGACAAATCAAACACGAGGTCCCATATGTATGTCAACCAATCGATTGTGATTTAAATGTTGTAAAAATATACTTATATTAAAAGGATGTCCAATACGTTGATAGCGATTACAAAGAGGCTCAGGGACGGGATTTTACAATTGATCCTGTTCATTACAAAGATTTACCACAACTTATTAGCGACACTCAAACCAAATACAATCTGCATTGGACTCCAATCATAGACCCGGCTATTCAGGGAAATCAAGCAAATTATACGATCTTTAGTGAAGGCAATGACAAAAATGTGTTCATAAAATGGCCAAAAAGTATTCCCGTCCAAGACAGACACAATCCGGATAAGATTGATATCACTCACGATGATATGTACGGTCGTGTGTGGCCACCCGGACCGGTAGCCTGGCCTGACTTCCTTAAGAATGTTACCCATAACTGGTGGATAGACAACCTCAACCATTTGCACTCTATTGGATGGAAATTCAATTCACTTTGGATTGTAAGCTAGTTAAATTAAGCTAGTCCATTATTTATGATTAAAATTAAGAGTAAAATTAATATTATAAATAGGATATGAATGAGCCAATCACTTTCGATAGTGGGGAGGGATATAATATCCAGTGTCCACACAATCAATACGATAACATTCCCATCGAAATAAGTAATTATTGTTTTGAAATGGTTTGCAATTAATATTAATATCAATTAAATGTGCCTTAAATAGAGGCTCTTTGGGTGCATGGCTTTGATCGGTTGAGCAGATCAACCCTTTGTATGGTTGGAGTTCAGGGAGAATCGGGTCAATTCAAACACTATGACGTCCACTCCCTTTATGGACTAACCATGGCTATGGCCACACAAAAGTACAATTAAATAAACATTTTAGATAAACCTTTCACTTCAAACATTGATTTATTTTGAATAGAGCCCTAAATTATATAACAAAGAAAAGAGGTTTTGTATTATCAAGGTCCACATATGTCTCGTCGGGTCAATACACGGGTCATTGGTTGGGGGATAACACGGCAACTTGGCTTCAAATGAGGGAATCGGTTATAGGAATGTTAGAATTCAATTTGTTTGGCATTCCATATGTATGTCCACTAGTTTTTTAAGATAAAAAGTGTCTTATAATCGTTTTACTTCATAGATTGGATCAGATATTTGTGGCTTTTACAGAGATACAACACCAGAACTATGCCGTCGTTGGTCACAATTGGGAGCCTTTTCACCATTCAGTAGAAACCATCACGAGAGGGGAAATGATATTGAACAGGACCCGGCTGCTTGGGCTGATAGGGGGCACCCGGAGGTTACAGAGGCGGCCAAACAATCACTTTATCTGAGATACCAATTACTCCCCTATTTATATACCCTGTTCTTCAAAGCGCACGTATTGGGTAACACTGTTGTCAGACCTCTGTTTCATGAATACCCGGCTGATAACCAAACATATGGTATTCAAGAACAGTTTATGTGGGGATCAGTCATATTAATCTCTCCATTCCTATATGAAGTAATTTTATAAATTGTTTATATTTGAATATCTATAAATTTGTACTATAATTATAAACAGAATCAAACTGAAGTGAATGCATACCTTCCCAATGATGTCTGGTATGAACCGACCGATGAATTTGTGAAACTCTATCCAAAGACCGGATTCGTTAAGATTGCAGATAATAATAGACAGGTTCCTCCCATACATCTTAGGGGTGGAAATATTGTGCCCATTGGTTACAACAAAGCAGTCAATACACAGGTATTGAGAGACAAACCAATTAATCTGGAGGTCTATCCCAAAGACAAAAAGGCGACGGGAGATCTGTTTTGGGACGACGGAGACTCTCTCAACACTATTGAGACAAAACAATATAATTTCTATGAATTTGAATTGTTTGCCAACTGTTCACTACAATTAAGAGTCAAAACAAAAGGCTATAATTCAAGTAAACCTCATTTGATTGAGAAAGTATTAATAGCCAATACACTGAACGCCAAAATCAATGCATTACTCGATGGAAAAGCAATTGAAAATGTTGTGGTAAAAGAGGATTACATTATATTTCCAGTGAATATCGATTTGAATGCTGCAAAAGAGGGTCAGATATGGAAGATTGAGTGGAAAACTGTTGACAACACATGTAATTTGAAATAATTATTTTATTATTTGTTTATTACAGAAAACATTAATTGAAAAATTAAAATAGATGTGAATAAAATTTAATTTAATATCAAACGAACATGAAATCTAGTATTTTATTAAAGATGAATTAATCAACTAAGACATCATCTATTAAGCGAAATCTCAATTAAAACTGTAATTATTGATAAGACAACTCCGACTGCAAAGGGTCCCAAAGCTGTATTAATTTTGACCACAAATTTAAAACCATTGCTTTGAGTAGTAATGACTTCTTCCCCGTCATCGTAGATTTGTGAGGCCACCTGAACTATATCATAGGCCCACCTCCCATATATCCCAGTCTCCAATGCACTGTACACTCTGGGTCATTTCAAATATATTAAATTAATTTAGTAATAAATCTGATCAAAATGACTAATTGAATTTGCTGATCAACATTTTATATAAATTGATTTCTTACATATCATTATAATGTTTGGCTACAAATGGATCCAATTTCTTACTATAAACAAAACCAA